CCCGCCCCCCCCCCCCCCCCCCCCCCCCCTTTTATTTTAAGTATATTTAAGGCTGGAAAGAGTTTTATCTTTTAGAGTATATTTGTTTTATTCATTTTTCTTGCTTTTTAGTTCAAATATTGTAAGTGTTAATCCTGCAATAACATCGGTGGAGGTAGATTACAAGTGCAGCTACTGCCTTTTTCCTTCTTCTTTCTTTCTTTTTGCTTGACAAAAATTACCTGAATGATATATCCTTAGCAGCATATAGTAGAGCAAACATTGGTGTACTTGAATTTGAAATAACCAGAGCTAAGAGTAAAATGTAAAGTGCACAAAGTGTCCGAATATTTCCCCCTTTCTTTCTTTTTTTTTTCTTGGGCTTTAAAATTGGGGGGGGGAATCAAATCACCTTTGTAAAAGAGCCTCTGCATCCCTATTAACGAGGTGTGTTCTAGACCACAGAATCGTAAAAGAACAGTTCCAAGTCTGTCTGTTCAATATTGCCAGTTATCACAGGTTTAGAAATTGATCATGTATTGTAGCAAAGTATACTGGAGTTCATTCAATATAATTTTGAGGTCTCCTGTGTATAACCAGTGTTTCTGGAGAATAACCTGCCTTGGGAGAATAAGAGGCTATGTCAGGGGAAAAAAAAATCCCTATGCTGCTGGACTAATGCACAATTTTCTTTCTTTCCTAGTAAGCCTGATTCTTCCCCCTTTTCTGTTTTCCTCCTTCCTTACTCCCTTTCTTAAGTACTTTAGACTACAAATCAAGTAGGGATCATGTCAGGGACTTGTAGAGAGGCAAAAGACGAAAGCATTTGTGCACTGAATTTGAAGACTCGGTCTAGAAACGATTCTTTAAGCTAGTATGTTGATTGAGTAATGTACAGGACTTTTTCAGGACTGGGTCTTTCCCCCGCCTGTCTACTTTTTTTACTCTGTCCTTATAGCAAGATGTCTGTTCCCACCAGATTTATTCTACATTCTGGTCTCTCAGTATGAATGGTTTGATTTGTGTAATCATGACAGTATTCCTAAAGTCCTATAAAATTATTTTAATGATTCCAAATATAATTGCAAGAAGATGAAGGAAGATGAGAAGCAGCAGGGAGGAGGTTTGATATTCTTCCTTGCTGGGAGGAATGCTGTCTACGTATGCAGCCAGTTGCCCCAAGTCACTTTTGGTTTCTCCTTTTGCAATTAATTACTGTTCTTTATATCATTGCCACTTACCCGATTTGAGTTCTTTCTTTTTCCTGGAACTGTCCCAAATATTCATGTCCTATTAGAGCTTTAGGGTTTTTCACATTCTGACAATTTGCCTGTGTATCTTTTTCTAAACCAAGATTTCTGCTTCTTCCCCATTCCTTTCAGACCACAGTGTTTGAGTTAATCTCTTTGCACATTGCTATATTCCAGCATTCATCAGGTGTTCTGTGGAGCTTGCTGCAATTCTGGCTGTCGCCCCCACTCAAGAGAGGAACAGTGGGATGCAGCCAGTTGGAGGGGGGTTATTGCACAAATCTGAAAAGGAGGTCGAGAAATCGTAGTTATCAAGCAGCTGGTGCTAGTATGCTAATAAACCACTCTGAAATGTGTGATGCATTCAAAAGAGGGTGTAGCCTTAATAAGTGATTGGAAAGTACTGACTTGTGACATATTTTAGAACTATTTTAAAAATGTAGAAAGTTATTAATAATTGAATGTGTGTTAAAGGAATGGAAGAAGCGGTTTGCTGTTCTTTGTGATAACTTCTTATTTCTGGTTTTGTTTTGTTTAGGTACTCCTATCAATAAACCACCTGTTCTGGGCTATAAGGACCTTAATCTCTTCAAACTTTTTAGACTGGTGTATCAGCAGGGTGGGTGTGACAATGTAAGTGTTGCATGTTTCACAACTAAATGTGTCCATTCTTAAAGGCTGTGGCTTGTGGCTGTGTTAGATATACTTCCTTAATGTTCTTGGTTAACAAAACCTGAAAACTTCCTTTTTTTTCTTTTTTTTCTTTTTTTGTTTTTTTTTCCCCAAAGATTGAGAGTGGTGCTGTATGGAAGCAAATTTATATGGACCTTGGCATTCCTATTTTGAACTCGGCTGCTTCCTACAATGTAAAAACTGCTTATAGAAAGTAAGTTCTCATATTGTATCATGATGAAAACATTTTTCCTTTTTTTAGTAGCCTGTACAATATTAAAGCGTTTTTTGATAGTTTAGTGAAATAGTAGTTGACATTCTTCAGTTAAGGAACAGTTCTGAGCATTTTCTAGTGCTGAGGATTGAAATGGTGGAGGAAAGGAGAGTGCTCAGGGCTGCTTAAATTCCTGTTGCTCTAATACATTAGAATTCTGCTCATTTTCTTATCAAGAAGCATTCACTTTCAGCATGTGATGATGCCATTTCAGAGTACAACAATGAAATTTATAAAAAAAGCTTTGGCAAATTAAGCTTTGCAATTTATGGTGATTAACAAGAACGAACTCCATCCTCAGTCTGTAGATGCTGCACACAGCAAGGAGAATTTTATACCAGTTTCTTTAACTTCCTGAAAAAAGTTGATAGATATAGACATTTCAGATTGCATATTTAAATATCATCTTTGTGGAATCTGTAGAATAATGGCTTTAGGGCATAACTGTACATTGCTGTGGTGGATGTGACAGTATTAGGTAGTAAAATCACTGCTTGTAATGAAAAAATGCCTAAGTCTTTTTATTCTGACCCCTGGTTTTCAGTTGTATTTTAACTTTTGAAATGGAAACCTTTTAGAAATGACACTATTCAAGCTCATTTTCTAAATAAAAATTATTTTTATTATTTATCTTCCTGGAAGTTTGACAAGAAACAATTGGGCTTTTTGAGTAAAAGGGAAGAATGAGGGTCTCTTGACTCAAACCTAAGGAAATTTGGCTGATTGAATAGGGATGACTAATGACTCAACTCATGTTAATGTTGATGAAGATTAAAATATTCAGACTATCTTCAGTGGGATTTGAACTGGGCACATATTTAAGGTCTGTATTTTACAGAGAAGAGTATTTGTCGTAAAAAGAGTAATTGGTAAATATGTATTAGGTTGCTGTTACAGTGGGAATAATTATGTTGTATGGACACATGATAGTATGTTGTAACTTGCATATTTATTCTTTGAGGAATAAGCTAGTTCATATTTCTGTCACCTATAACTGGATTAGAGTGTGCACACAGGCAGTTACCAGAGAGCAAGCTGATGCATAGCAATTTGTTACCATGTGGTAACTTGTTTGTATGCCCATATTCTAATATTAGGCTGATTTTAGGTGTCATTGTGCATTTGCAAAACAGTGTACATGTCCTTAGGCTTTACTGTCATGAATTCTTAATTGGACGGGGATGAAGTTAAATTTGTGGGAAGCACCTGTGTGTATTCTTTCTCACCATGTGACTTCTGTGCATAATTGTTTCATTTCAAAATCTTCTCCGGCTTTTTATTTTTTGTTTATTTGCATTTGTTTTGTTTTGGTTTTTTCCTGAAATTACTGCTCCTCTTGCTTTTCTGTGAGCAGGAAAATAGGTTTTATACACTTAAATAAATGGAAAATAAAACATGAAATATAAATGAAACTTTATTTGTATCTATAGGTATCTTTATGGTTTTGAAGAGTACTGCCGTTCTGCAAACATTCAGTTTAGGACCATCCATCACAATGAACCAAAAGTGGTAGAGGACATACAGAAACACATGGAACCAATGGAGGAGGGTGTAAAAGAGGAACAAAAAATGCCCCCAACAGAAGTTAAAAAAGAAGCAGAAGAAAATTATTCCAGCAGTGAAAGTGAAAAAGAAGAAATAGAACTAAGATCCCCAAGGGTAAGTGGTTTGAACTGGTTTCTATTTAGTACTTAACAAAACCCCTTTGTATAGCTCACAGTTTACATAATGAGTTTTCCCTTGTGGAGTGATTGTACACTTGAATTGGCATACTTGTACAAGTGTAAGACAGGGTTCTGTGAATGCCTAGCTGGTGTTAACTGTTAATTATGTTCTACCTGTGGATAGAATCAGTTTTGATTATTTCTTCATATTCTAAACCATCCACGGGATTTGCTCAGGCTGTGTTGGATGTCAGATGTGTTTCGATTCAGGGATGGCTTGAGAGCTACTGAGAGCTGTATATCATCAGAACAGTGAATCTCAGCAGGACAGTCGTGCTTGTGGGTAAGAATTTCCGCAGGCACATGGAATCTGGAGCTTTCCAGCAAGAAGCAGGAATATCAAGGGACTGCTACAGCTTTAAGAATCAAAGGAAGACCCATTTCTCTGAGTTGTTTTTTATCACAATACCTCTTCTTTTAATAAAAGGAACTCTGCAGTTTTACAGTATGTAGACAAAAGTATAGGGAGGAACACTTAAGTTTTGTCTTCCTTTGTCTTTGAATGCTATAGAGGTGAGGGTCGTATTAGTAGTTACGTGGATAAGACCAGTGCTCCATCAGCTAGTGGATGCTGAACCTCATTGAGAGTACAAGAATACTTTTCAGGTGTTTGAATATGACTCTCTAGCACTCCTGTTAATCCTGTTAAAAAGACATTTTGTGTTCCTTAATAGAGCATGATTACTGAAGGACAAGGAATTGCTACTTTTTAAATTGTTCAAGTTGTAAGGATTCTGTTCAACTAAAATGTAATTCTATTAAAGTACCTCTTGCAAACAGCTTTTCAAGCAAGTATATGGCCTTTTAAATTAATAGGTGAAAGGACATACTTTAAACACAGCCTTAATGAACTTCCTGGCATGACATTAGCTTTGTTGTTAGTTTGTTCATTTATTTTGTGTTTTTGGAGAAAACTGGTGAGAGGATAAAGAAATGGAAGAATTTTTTGTGTTTTTTATCATTGGCTGTCTATGTTAATTTGTTAATAATTAGATATTATTTGGTTATGTATTTTATTAATTTATTAATCCAGTCACCAGCTACCTATTTATGAATGATTATTTTTCCAATGTATTAACTGTTATAGTACTGTGAATTTTAATTATTATAGTGCTTTCATTACTGTAATCTTTGGATGGCCTCCAGATAATTAACCTTGCATTCATAATGTATTTTAAATGTTCCGATTACAAAGCAATGACCCTATCAAGAGACTTTTAACAGTAAAATGATAAACCTGTACTAGATCCCCAAGAACCAGTGCAGATAGTCCCAGACAGCAATTGTCTGGCTACTCAAAGTACCTTTTAAAAATGCGATACTTACAGTTTTTCTAAAGCTGACAGATTTTTGTTCTGTGAAGTCAGCAGGTGGCTATCAGGATTGAAGATGCTGAAGGAAGATGAATTCTCTCAGTAGTCCTATACAAACACTTTAATTAATGCTGTTGCTGTAGTTGATCAAGACTTTTTAGCCCTTTCTATGAGGGCAACAGACCTTGCAGGTCCAAACAAATGTCCTGAAATCCTCCAGAAGTTAATCAGAAGCTCATCCTCATTATTCCAAACAAAGCAGAACAGCTTTATTTTGCCTTTTTCCTCAATAACAAAACTTTAAGCTATTATCTTAAGATTATAGAATAATTTGCTTTTTGGTGTTATCTTTAGCCTTTCTTCGTACAAGAATAGTATGTTTCACTTTTGCTAAGATTTGGAGCGGCTATACAGAGAACAACTGACAGGAGTCAATAAACTGATCTTATTTCTGTTCTAGGGGCGAAGACGACTTGCCCGTGATGCAACCCCAGCTAAAAAAGATAGTGAAGAGGATAAAACACAAGACAAATTAAAAGACAGTAACAAAGAAAACAAAGATATAGAGGAAACACCTGAGAATGCAGAAAAGAAAGAAAATGAAACTTCACTAGGGAGAAAAAGTATACCAAAGCAAAAAGAGAAAAAAATTAAAAAACAGGAGGATTCTGATAAAGAGTCAGACGAAGAGGAAGAGAGGCAGAGGGAGAGGTAAACATTAACTTTCATCACCTTCTTATGAGTATGTCTGTGTCATGATTGAGCTGTACTCAAAGCAGGAATATACAGAGTTGGAGATCCTACCAAGTAAAAGATGGAAATCGGGGACCTAGTTCATTCAGCCAGACAGGAAAAGGAAGGTTTTATTTCAAGCTTGTAGAGTCTGCTGTACTTTATGGAAGCATCTTTTTCTGGTGGGTGCCAGATAGTATTTTTCACTTTCATTTTCTTGAAGGTCTTGCCAAGGTTGTGTTGGTGTTTTGTCACACCAGTACGTACAGACATCAGGTAGACCAGGCTATAAGTATGCCAGGTGCTGTATGGATTGTGAGCAACTGTTTGGGCAGACTTTTCTGGGCAGTTGAAATATAAATGGAAAAGAGAGCCCCTCTTCTCCTGTGCTTTTGTTTAAATGTTTGGTGGTGGCTGGTGAACCTAGAGCTTGCTTGTTTTTATTGTTACTTGATGTATTGTAGGCAGGCAGGAAGGGGTTGAGCTAATAAAGCAAAGGAGAAGGAGAGAGGGAGTTTGAATGAAACCTAAAGGTAGGTAGAAGAGGAGAGGATGGAGAGACATGGAAGGGCAAAGGGAAAATAGCATCCTGAGACTAAGCTTGACAAGTTAAATTGGATTTATAGTCCTAGTTACAAACGAGTTGTGACGAAGTGACTAATTTATTACCAGAGTAGACCTCTTCTTAGCTAACTTTGGCTGTGGTCAAGGGCAATGTCTTACCTGCTTAAGCTGCCTTTCTTACCTTGTTTTTCTTGTCCATGTGGCTAAGTGGTGTGGACACAAGTTGATACTGAATAAAGCCTGATAGGAGTATTGCATATTTTCTTCTAAAGAACTTTGAGGAGTGGGAAAAACACACAGTTATTTTAAAGAAAGTGTCACTGTGCTGTCAAAAAAAAAAATAAAATCTTGCAGTACACCATAGCATGCAGAAATGCCTCAAATGAATGTACAGTGTGGGTGTGCAGCAGGTTGCAGAGGTATGTCGGATGACTAAGGCCTGAAAGAGTTTTCTTTAAGTGGCATGAATGGTGCTTGTCCTCTTTCTTTTAATTGTTTGCCACAACAAGATAGTTCAGCTTTCACTGAAGGCTAGCAAATATATTTAATTAAAAGCAAACCCATAGTCTTTTTCAGTATTTTCTTTCTTGGTGATTTTTTTGTAGTTTTAACTTTTACATTATGTTAAATTCACCCTAAAATAGGGAGAGAAGTATAGGTAAAGTAGGTTAGATTGTAATTCTTGAAAATATGATTAAGTAGAATGTTTAAATATTAGATATACCTATAATAAGAGGTAGATACAGCTAATAAGAGCTGTATAGACACTTTTAATCTTGGTTAAATATTGTTGTAATCAACTTTTTTTTTCAATTGAATCGTGTTTGTATCATGAGAGGATACTATGATGGCAATTCAGACTTGTGTGCACTGTTAGTAAACCCTAGCTTATTATCCGAACTGCAGAAGTAAGAATTTTTTTTTTAAATAGTGTGTCAAATTCAAGCCTATTTTAAAAGCTGAGAATCGTTCTTCCTGTCTTATTTAGGAGCCAAACACTGAGTTAACTTTTTCTTCTTTTTGTATTATCAAAATATTCATTTAAAAAAATAAGCTTTAAGCTTTGAGTTGTACACCTGATAAATTGCATTTAAATTACAATATAACTTTCTGGACATTTTTGGCACTTACCCCTATTCTCTCTAAGTCCTGTTCTTGATTTTAAAAAGCTGTGTCCAAGCTAGCTTCAGAGGCAGTGCAGGATACAGAAAATGAAAGAATTTTTTCTTGCAGCCTTTTTCTTTTGTAGTAGCTTGGCTATGCTAGTTAAATGTTAAAACTTTAATTATCACTAATTAGTGGGCATTTTAAATACACTTTACTGCAGGGAGGAAACTGAGAACAAAGGAGAATCAGAAGGTGAAGAGGATGAGGAGGATGCAGAACCCTGCCTGACTGGAACCAAAGTGAAAGTAAAATATGGACGTGGAAAGACTCAAAAAATTTATGAAGCCAGTATTAAAAGCACAGAAATTGATGATGGAGAAGTTTTATATTTAGTTCATTACTATGGTTGGAATGTAAGGTGAGGATAACAAATTGCCTTTCATTTCTTTGTTAGAAGGATTATTTGTAAAAGAATTTTTTTTTAAGAAAAAAGAGAAAGATTATAAATGACTTGGGTCCAGATTGAATTATCAACATGATAACAGGATCTGACTCTTATTACACTTCTCAATGTTAGTAATTTTGTTCATGATATGACACTATTGCATTGAAATCTCAGAATATACTTGTATGTTTCCAAGTTTCCATCTGGCTTAAAGTGAGTAATCCTCACTCCTCAGAAGAGCATCCCTGTAATTTATTGTGTCAGCTAGTGTTAGCACTATCAGACTTTTTTATTTAAGGGAGTCATTGATAATGGTGAAGACATCTACAGTTAAGTGTATCAAGCACTGAAATTTTGGCAACAAAATTTATTCCTGTATTGAATGTTGACTGTGATTATAAAGAACGGTTGTTACATGTAGAGAGGGTAGGAGAAGACTAAGCAACAAAGAACTACAGAAAAAAAATTATCAAATGCTTCTCTTGGCAGCCATGCTTTATATTCAATACTGCTGTAGAAAAGCCTTTTTTTGTTGTTGTTAAGAGCTTTGTGATTATGTAGACAAAAATATCACAAAACCGATCATTTTTAAAAATAGAACACTTCTGGTATATAACTTGAGATATTCCAAATCCATGCATTTGTAAGTAAAATAAGCAAATTTCTTTATGTGGCAACGTAAAGTTTATGTGTGGGGAACGTATCCCCCAAATACTTATGTGTCCTTTTGCCTTATTAGTGACTCAGGAGATTTTGAGGAGCACTAGTAGTGTATTTGTGCTTTTTCAGAATCTCATCCAGTTTGTTGCTATAATTTAAAAACTTTACCTTTAAAAAAAAAAAAGTACATTTTACTGTTGAGGCACAGTGTGGTGAAAACTGCCTTTGGTATATAATGTGAAATATTGACAAACTTTGTAGCTGACTCAGTCCCCTGAGTTCCAGTGCTTTGCTAGCAAGAGACAGGGAAGTTTGCACCTCCATTCCCCCATTCCCCCCTTTTTTTTAATGGGCTAGAAGTGTAATTAATCTTTCTAATGCCAGATACTGCATGTGTTTGTAAATACACGCTCTGCTTTCCTGCCTCTCCTTAATAAATATTTTCTGTAACTCAGTCTTTTAATCTGCATATTGCAAACAACTTTTTTATGTGTAGTGATAACAGTATGTTGTTATTCACTTTTAGATACGATGAATGGGTGAAAGCTGATCGGATTATCTGGCCTGTGGACAAAGGAGGACCAAAGAGAAAACAGAAGAAAAAAACAAAAGTAATGGTTATTTCAATAAGTTTACTGTAGTACAATACTTAATGACTATCACTGTTCATTATTAAAAAAAAAAAAAAAAGTTATTCAGTCCACAGTCTAGTTTTTTTAATAGAAGTGTAGAGCAAAATGAGAAAAGGTTTGATAATCGGCAGTGAAATATATTAATAAAAATTCATTGGTTTTCCCTCAGAATAAAGAAGACAGTGAAAAGGATGAGAAGAAGGATGAGGAGAAACAAAAATCAAAGCGTGGGCGACCCCCTCTGAAATCTACTCTTCCATCAAACACATCTTGCAGTTTATCCAAAACGCCTAATAGTGAAGGTAAATCAGGAGCCAGAAGTGCACGGAACAACTTGTCAGATTCCTCACCATTACCAAATGGAACAGAAGGTACATCTAGTGCACTCGTGTTCTGGCATGGAAGTGCATGTAAACAGTGATGTAATGCGGTGCATTAGTATGACAACTTCAGCAAACACAGTGCTGTCAGCAGCTTTAAAGTCCTACTTAACCCGTCAGTGAACAAGCAATATAACAAAACAAATTTTTGATGCAGATTTTACTCTATAAAAATTAATACTTTTGATTTTGATTTTTAGCAACACCTCGCAGGCAGACGAGACGTAGCTCAGGAATGTTTGATTCTGATAGAGGATCAAACGGTGAGTGATCTCAGTCCTGTGTATGCTTTTGAGATTTTTTTCAGTACCTTTTTGAAAAGAGGTTTGATTTTTATTTTTTACTTTTTTGTTTGTTTGTTTTTCCTTTCTCCCTGTGAATTTTATTGAGGAAGTAGTTGAGCTGACACTGCTGAGGAGCACAGTTTGCTCACAGTAGAGCTGTGGCCTGGAAATGACTGTGCAAGTCATTCCATATTCTTTAGCCAGGGCCTTTCAGTCCTAATCTTGAACAGACCAAATCTAGTGGTATAGTGATAGTCTTTATTGTGGTAATTAAGTCCTCAAGCTCAGTACTACATCATCCAGCAGAGTTGTTAATTATATACAAATGACGGCAATATTTTTGGTGTTTCTAAGCCTCTGTGAACAAGAACTGAAGTGAAATCACTGTCTCCTTTTAGTACAGGTGCCTGAATAATCTTCTGGTAATGTAATAATGCTTGCTCTGTATATGGTGCGTGATTCGTACAATAGTTTAGCAATGAAATGTCCATATTGTGGTGTGGAAGGGTTTGGGGTTTTGTTTTTGTTTTTTTGGTTTTTGGTTTTTTTTTTTTTTTTTTTTTTCTTTCTTCTGTCTGGGGGTGCATGGAGGGGAGGAGTCTTGTTTTTTGTTTTTTGTAATGTCAGGTGAGGGAGGCAATATCCACAGGTAGATACCAGATCATGGCAATCTGTAAAACTATTTTTGCTACTATAAACTGTAATTTGTTTATATTGGCTTATTTAGGAAATAGTAATAATAGAATCATAGAATATCTCAGGTTGAAAGGGACCCATAAGGATCATCAAGTCCAACTCCCTGCTTCTCACAGGACTACCTAAAACTAAATCGTATGACTAAGAGCATCATCCAGATGCTCCTTGAACTCTAATAGTACAACTACTGTTGTAGTTTCATAGAAATTTTGAGTAAAAATAAGAACTGTAATAAGTGTGTTGAATAACACGGGATTCTTTAAGTTTTAAATTGTTTATTGTAAACTGATGTGAATACCATAGATGACTGGAAAAAAAGGTTTTGTGTGGTCAAAAAAAGAAATTGTGTTGTAATTGATGATTTAGGGTGCTGTTTCCTTCTCTTTTAAAATTTTTTGCAGACTCTGGCTCATCTGACAGTGAAGCAGATGAGTCATCTGAAAAGAATTTGAATGAAGAATTTTCTCCAGAGACTTCAGAACTGGAAAAAAGTGAAAAACTACATGATGAGAAGCTAGATGAAGAAAACCCAAAGATTCCTCATGCCTTGAAAGAAAATGACAGGATGCAAGTACAGCCACTAGAAACACTGAAACTGGAAGTTGAAGAAAGTGAGCAAATTGTTCAGATCTTTGGAAACAAAACAGAACAAATAGAAGAAATCAAAAGAGAGGCTGAAAAATCACCTAAAGGAAAAGGGAGAAGGAGCAAGTCAAAAGATCCCTCTTCAGAGAATGCAAAGATTTCACCAGGAAGCCAAGAAGAGGTGGCAAATGAATCTCTTACAGAACCTGAAAGATTAGACATGTCTTCCTTGGACTGTAAAGAAATTTCCAGCACTACTGAAAGTGAAACAGAACCTCCTACAAAAGATAAGAAGCTTTTGAAAAGGAAAACTTTGGAACAAGCATCACCTGAGAAGAGAAATCGACGAGAGAGTGAGATGGAAGTGCCAAATATTGTATCTGAAGAGAGGACCAATGAATGTACTGGAGCAGAGGAATGTAGAGGGCTGAATGCTGAAGAGTCTCTCAGAACTGAAAATGAGGAAATGCCATCCCTGGTGGCAGAGTCAGTTCAGCACGGTCAGGAGCTGAGGAATGAGAACTTTGAACGTCCATCTGAAGAAAATGAGAATGTTCCCTTAAAAGATGAGGATGATGCAATGCCTCAGATTGGTCCTGAAACTTTGCTCTGCCATGAAGTAGACTTGGATGACTTGGATGAAAAGGAGAAGAGCAGTAGTGAAGATACAATATCAGAAAAGCCAGACCCTAATGCTTCAAATTCAAATCCATCTGCCTTACCCCCTGCCGTCCAGTCGAGCTTTTCAGTGGCCTCACCTCTTACTCTTAGTCAGGATGAATCACGCAGTATCAAGAGTGAAAGTGACATGACTATTGAAGTCGACAGTGTGGCAGAAGAGTCGCAAGAAGGTCTCTGTGAAAGTGAGTCTGCTAATGGATTTGAAGCCAGTACTACATCAAGCAGTTGTAGTATAGCTGTGCAAGAAAGAGAGACTGGAGAGAAAGGTGAGTATTTCCTGTGAAAAGTCATTCTCTGCTGTAATGACTTCTGAAGTCATCTTAAGTCTGCTGTTACTTTGCTAAAAATTGCTGGTTTGTTTTGTCTTCTGATTTTAAATTCCTTTGTTGCTTATAAAAAAAGCTTGTGGTTAGCAGAAATATTTGAGGAGTCTTTTTTAAATTATTTTTTTCTTCTCATTTAGGTCAAAAAAGACCCAGTGATAGCAATAGTGGAACACTGGCAAAAAAACAAAAGCGTACTCCAAAGCGAACAAGTGCTGCAGCCAAAAATGAAAAGAATGGAACAGGTACATTCTTGGAGGGGGAGAAGGGGGAAGATTATGCTGTCCTATGAACATGTATAAGGGCTCACTGTTGCTCGTTATTTCTGTTGGATGGGACTTCCTTGTCAGGGTTTTTCATTATTATTCATCATGATTATTGGCTGTTAACTGGAGAGAAATTACCAGCCGCATGGTAGCAGTGTTACTGGGAAATCTCCTGACTATTTTTAACTACTTCATTAAGAAAAAATTTTAATAACTGTGTATATTAGCAGTTACTAAATATTTACCATTACGCTGATTTTTTTTATATATTGGGTCGGTTATGAATTTGGGAGAGGGGAGCTTGTTCAACAAGCATCTCCTTTAAAGTCTTATGACAGGTGTTTACTCATGGGGAAAAAGGTCATCTGTGAAGTACAGAAAAAATGTTTGATGCTAAAGAATAACTTTTCAGCAAAAGGAATCTTGTTTGGTTTTATCTCAAGTATGTGACTATTTTTTAACTTGCTATAGAAATCTGGATTTTTGTGTTTCTATAGCTCATTTTTGGTGATCATTGTATTGAATGAGTCAATATTTAGGCCCTGTGGCAGCACTGGTAAAATTTTTAAATATCAAACTAAAATGTTAATTATCTGACATAAAATATTCAGATATATTTAACATGCCTGTGTAAAACTTTGCAATTACTGTGGGAATCTAAAATATTTGCATATATCAGCTTAAAATTTTCTGTTGCATGTTAAAGTTTTTATGCTTTTAGCCATGTTTCAGAACTGTTCCTTTAGATGTGTAAAGCAATTTGGTAAACATACACAGTCATGTGCTACCTACCTGTATTAATACAGTTTTAATCTTTAAGAAAGGAATTCTACTGTCTGCTTTATAGCAGAACCCCAAAATATGTGACTTTATTAGAGCACTGATAAGCTATCTTTTCTTATTTTAATAAGCTGCTTTATTGCTGGTTTAAAAAAATTTGACTATTGCTTTTTAACTAAAGGCCTAGTCAGTCCGTGACTTCTCCTGCATTAAAGATCTTGAGAGTTCAGTGCATGTTCTGTCCGATAAGGTTATACATGGAATCTGATATGTTTTTTCCTTGTGTGCATTCTGGGATCTTCTGAGCGAGGAGGGGCAGTTTTTTCTTAATCTTTTTTTTTTCTGATGATAGCTACAATTTTTAAAATGTCAGGGTTGTTTTTTTGAAGTCCAAATACATTTCTCTTACTGCAGGACAAAGTAGTGACAGTGAAGACCTTCCTGTCCTGGACAGTTCAAGTAAATGTACTCCTGTAAAACACATAAATGCATCCAAACCACAGAAGATTTCTCGATCACCTGCAAGAGTGATTTCACCTCACATCAAAGATGGAGAGAAGGATAAACACCGAGAGAAACACCACCACCAGAATGCTTCGCCTAGAGTATACAAATGGAGTTTTCAGCTCAGTAAGAATTATTTAAGTGACTTGATCAGAGGGAATTTACAAGAAAATTTGTTCTGCAAATTTTGAGATTCTAAATTATGTATAGGCCTTTTATGGTGTAGTTACGGAAGTGTGGTATCTTTCATGCTTCATCTTGTATACTCTTAAGAATTGCATTTATTTGTTTAAAATCACCTTGATGAAGCCATTTTTTCTTTTCTTCCCACTTTTAAGATGAACTAGACAATATGAGCAGCACTGAAAGGATCTCCTTCTTACAAGAAAAACTACAGGAAATACGAAAATACTACATGTCCTTGAAGTCAGAAGTAGCAACCATTGACAGGAGAAGAAAACGATTAAAAAAGAAAGACAGAGAAGGTAATTTTCAGATTTGCTTTATGTTTCCCATGAGAAGTTCATTTTCCTGAAAATACATAAATCAACTTAATTGACAGATTTTTGAAAAAAAAAAGTGTTATCTGTTTATCCTGTTCATATGTATACATATTTAGAAAGAATATTTGTGGCTTTTTAGAACTTGACCCTAACAAAACATTGACTGTTTTAAAAACTGAGTATTAGAAGTTTGGACTTCCTAGTGCAAGCTCGGTCTGAGTTTTCAATCAGCATAATGACTCATCTGATTTAGCTTTTCAATTGGTCTGTGATGCAGAAAGGGTAAGATTACTCATCCAGTTTACATGAATATAACAGTGAAAGCAATTGACAAAAAAATCCTTTTCAGTTTTCTGTGACTGTGCCTCTTCTTTGAGGTCTTTTAAACAACCTAATAACCAAGAAGACCTTCATTCTGACATGTACTTTGATAATCTGATGCTGATCTGTTGTTCTGTATATTCAGTGTCACATACAGGAGCATCCATGTCATCTGCTTCATCAGACACTGGAATGAGTCCATCATCATCTTCTCCTCCACAAAACGTGCTTGCTGTAGAATGCAGGTGATACACATTTCTCTGCCTTGCCGGCAACTTGCTGCCATGGACATAAATCCTGAAATTCAACCACAGAAAGCACTCAACTGGTTTGACATTGCCAAGTATATTCTGTACACACTTCCACTGCTGGACTGTACCTGTTCTCCCCTCCTACCTTCTTTCTTTTGTTTAATTTACTGTTCAGAGAAATTAAGCTCATTGGTAACTGAAGGTTTGTAGGCACAATGTGACATGCTTGTCATTGTGTTTGGTTTTGTTTCTTTGTTGGTTTTTTTTTTTTTTTTTTTTATTAATGCAGAGAAAGGGCACTTATCAAATTTGAAAAGTTATGTCCAATGAAGCATTCAGCTGTTCTAGGGAGATCTTAGAAAAGCAAGTGCACCAAGCAGACATCAAGTTTTATCAAAAAGAATTGAGTAACTGCTGCACTTTCACTGAGCTGTACGTTAACTCTTGGTGAGTAGTTCCTCTTTGTGGAAGCACTTGCTATACAGAACTGCCAAAGTATGTGTTCAGCAATGTGCCCAGTTTTAAAGGTGTAAATGGGACAAAATAAATTGTGAAAGGAAGTGTAGTTGACTGAAAACTACAGTTGTAATAAGTCTTCCACTTTTTATAGGATTTTTGAGCACACGATTATGCAAATATTTTAATGTTTATTAATGTTTACAGTGGAATTGTGAATAGGTTTTCAGTGGACTATCTTATCCCTTGACAAAAATATTTTGTCTTTTTTCTATGTAATTTCAGAGTTTTTATTTTGTTACAAAAAGACGAAAAATGAAATATATAACAACAGTGAAGTTATTTAACAAGATTTCTAAAGCTGAAATTTTTGTGTAAAATAAGGTATCTTGCAACTTGTTAAATATATTTATTCAGACATTGGATGTTGTATTTTTATGTATTTTTTAAAATATTAATAAAATTGGAAAAAAAATTGTAGGTTAGTTCACTCTTTCGATAAAACATAGTTATCAGTTATGGCTCTTAAGGAGGTTTTATCCAGTAGCTGTGCCTGTATTTCACATGGGTCTGTCTACGTATCCTCCACAACATAGGTCTGTAAGCGGGCATCTGGATTAAACTATGACTTTATTTGGAAACTTTGGCAGTCCTAGTACTTACATTGTTTTGAGGAACAAAATTTATTGGGTTGCCCTTAAGATACTTTGTCACAAGTTCTTATGTTTGCTGTACTGCCGAATGAATTTATATCTCCCAAAGTTGAGATGCAACAATAAAGTAAAGCAACTGTGTATGCTTTGTCTGTGGATTGTCCCACAGACAGATACAGTTTGTAAATAACTCTTCCAAAACCATGTATTTAAAACAGTTTGCATATACATTATGTATAAAAGTGATTTTTTTATCAATTTTTTTATTCATGTTTGTACATTGAAAGGGGTTCTTAACCCCTTTTTCTGTGTTTAATATGCTGTAGAGTAATAACATAGATGCTCTAGACTGTATATCAGGATATTCTGGTTCACACGGCAGAAAGTCAGAACGAAACACTAGTGATGGCGTAGCATTACTAAAATTGATGTTTCTTGAAATTTCATTTTACAACATTTGTCACCTTGTGATTCCAATTCCTTCCATTTTCGCAGAAAATTAAAGAAAAAGTACTCTTGTAAATGCACTTTTTCTGTCTTTTCTTAAGCAAAGCAGAACTATTTCAATGTAAGAAAAATATGGAGCTCACTAGACAGCATTAATAAAGGCCATGTTTTAAACATAGGCTTTATATTCTATTTTTATTTAAGTGATTGTTCTTGTAAATGTCTGGACTTACCTAAATAGGAAAATTAATCTCCATAAATTGTTGTATAGACTTTTTTCAGAGCTAACTTCTACTGTTAATCTTACAATAGCTATGAATAAAAAGCAATACTCATTTAAAAGGAAATAACATGGGTCACATTTTCTCAGATTATCTTCCATGTTTAGTATTTGAAGAAGTAAGTTTTAAATTCAGTGAAATAATAGGATTAATTGTATCTTATGCAGATATCTAACCTCTGTCTATAAGCTGTGTGAAACCTTAAACAGGCATATACACACACTCGGCGTGCACAGATGATGGATGAGCTCCTAACCGTCTGTATTTTGGCATAGGCGTTCACAGTGCGTACACTCACTGCTTCTCCTTATCTCTTAGGAATGTTTAAAATACTGCATGGGAGACTGAAGGTATGGTTCCATGAAATGTGGAAACCCGTTCTAACAGACGGTTGCTCCTTGACACAGAGAACTCACTGCCTTACTTCCTCTTTCCACCTGCTTACCTTGCGCGAGTCCTCATCAGAGAGACAGACAGACTCACACCCACCCACAGCCCCCAGTAACAACTAACATCACTATTCTGGCCGAGCACTAAACCTGCAAGAAAAGGTGGACTTTCTGCCAGGCCACTGGCAAAGCCTCTAGCATGTTACTCATTTCCTAGTTTTATCTTTCTGGCAAGAAGCGTATCAGTTAGCCAGATTATTTGGTAGATGTTTAAAGTAGTTTCTTATGACATTTAAAAATACCACAGGGAAAAGAAGATTAACTATATAATGTGGGATTGCCCTGTACTAAAGGTGAACTCAACAAGAAACCCTAACAGGTCTTTTATTTCTAACTTTACTAGAATGCCCTTATTTCTCCTTTGTTGACATAAAATAAATTCCAAAGTGTCTTCCACTGCCTTAAATGAAAGTTTATGCTGTTGAGGACACAGTAATTATGATTAAACTGAATTGGGATTTTTTTTAGTAAGAGATTAGGTATGTTTGCAAGAGCAATCAATAATAAAGCACCCTCTTGGCAAGCTTCACAGGGTTCTCCTGCCTTCTGATCTTTGAGTTTTTCTCAATGATACATGTTATTTCAAGCCTAGTTAGGAAGTAAAAAAGATACAGTTAAGATTAGGGGATCAAACACTGTTAGAACTGTTAAAAAGAACAGGGCTGTAAGAATTTGGATTCTCCCCCCAACTCCTGCAACTGACAGAACTGGCAGATTTCTGGCAGATTTATTATTTTTGTATTAGCATATATCTGAATGTTGGAAAAAATTTGGAACATTTGCATGCGAGGACATAAGGTAAGAAAAGGTTCATTTCCCTACTTGTTTTAGTTCTTACTTTCTTTCCATAAAGTATACCAGCTACATGTATACTAATGAGCTTTTATTTTCTCTGTAATGTCTAAGTTTAGCAACACCCAGTTAAATCTCCACTTGTTTCTGGCTCCTCGATCAGATTGCTTGTGTTTGAGAAACCTTCTCTTGCTTAATCAGTTTGAACAGATGAGGCAGGAGAAGCAAAGATGTCGGAACAATAATAAGCCATTATTTCAACAGAGGTTATTTCTGTAAATCTGTTTAATCAGTAGTGAAAGAAAAGCGTAACAAGGGCAAGTGAAAGTGTGTATCTTCATGAAGCATAATGTATCTGACCTTCACGGGGAGCAGCAAAGACCTTTAATTTGAAGGACAGCAGTAGAAGAGAACAAGTGATTAAATCACTTCTTCGCTGTTTGTGGTATTTGCACAAGTTCCACTTGAATCGAATTTTTTTTTAAAGGTGCAGTGTTAGAATGATCCAGGCAGAAATTTTTAAAATGGATACATATTCTTATTTTATGTGTAGGGAGCCACATAGTAACAGCTACCAAAATTACACAGGATGGCTTTGATGGGGAGCTGGAAAGAGAATCTGAATCTTAGGATTGTCAATGCCTGTGTCTCAGTCAGACTATCCACTCTTGAGAGAGCATTCTCTCTCCGGATAGGTTTGTCAGTCAGATGGAATTTCACATTACAAAAATGAATATTCTTATAAAATGTTCTTCTTTTCCCCATTAAAAATATTCTTGGAAGCTGAGGCAGCCAAATGGGTTTTCTGGGCAGCATTTACTGGAATTCTTTTATAGCAGTAAGTCTTAAGAAATGCTGCTTTAAGAAAAGAACATGTTTGGTTTGATTGCTTGAAACAAATCTGACAGATTAGCTGGAAGACAGATTTACCAGCTGAAACAAAAGGTGAATGTGTTAACAAAAGTATGTCGAGCCATTTACTTCACTGTGCCCTTGTGTTTCGCAGATATTGTGCAGTAAAATCTTGATTATTTTTACTTCTCTGTACTTGGGATTTTATAATTTGCTACAATGTGCAGGATAAAGACTCTCTCTGGAGATGTAAGGAACATAATAAAGCAGTGGAACCAATGGGGATATTGCCAGAGACAGACTCACTATAATTCCAAGGCTTAGGAAAAAGTTTATAATTTCCTTACACTATTTATCAAGCTATTGCCCTCAAATTGAGAAAATCTGTCACTCTACCATATTATCTTCCACCAAATAGGATGATTTTTTAAGAGGTCTCAGGGGAGTGTAAAATTATTCACCTTTACTAGTTACCACTAAGTATCTGGTATTTATTGGGGGTTTTTGTTTATTTGTTTTGGAAATCTGAGAGTTCCCCAAATTCTACAAGCATTTATTCATCTTGTCCATTGCTTTGGAGGAATATGTAAATTCAGTTTTTTGTGTTACAATGTTATTGGTCTGGATATGTGCAGTTGAGTGGTGGATTTTGTGATTAGTCACAGCCCAATGACAAATACTTGCTGCATTGTCATTTAAAGAAAGCTGAAAAGATAAGGCAATCTTAATTGTGAAAGCAGACTTTTTTTCACCCTTTCTAAGAATAGGGCTTTCTGGCTTTCTCTTTGTTTTGAATTATCTCAGCCCTATTTATGTTGCTATTCCTGCTCCTTCCCATTTTCAGAGAAATCCTACTTTGTGTTTCAGAGCAGGGCTGTGCTGGTTCTGCTTCAGGTCTGCAACTACCTGCTATTTATATTAGTTAGTACCCTGAGGCTGTTGCTTATCCTATACCAATAGTTTTCAAACGTGTAAAAGTGTCTGTCTTTGTTTTATGACACTTAGCTTTAACTCACCAGTACAGCTCACTCATTATGAAAAAAACATGGAAGCATCGCGACGCTTATTTTCTCTATGTTGCGTAGCTAGCCAGCAAAGAAAATCAGCAAAAGAGCTCCATTACAGCTGTGAAAACCTGCAGGTTGTTTATCAGTAGCGTGTTTGCTTAACTCCCACTCTGAGCCTTGTGGGTGAGGGACACAGATGTTACTGGTGCTGTCTCTCTTTCCCTGCTCTTCAGCGTAACCCAACAACATTTCTATTTCAGCCCTGTCAGTGTCTTCAGCTATTTCTAAACTACTCCTCCTCTAATCCCTCATCTGGGTACAGCTTGACCTAATTTGCCATGATCCTGCCAGCTATGCCAGTTACGTAAGGAGGGGTAAGATGCAGAATTTGTATGAAATACTTTGTTATATTGCCCAAGGGTGGGTTTGGGTGGTTTGGTGTTTTTTTTCAACAAGCCACTTAATGTGTATGCGCAGCTTCAAACCATCTCTCTTGATGCTCATTCATTTTCTGAAAATTACCTCCTTTAGGAATGGGAAAGGTTTAAAGCTATTTAAAAAGGGAAAAAAACCCCAAACCCAAACCCTTGATTCCTTCTGCTTCCCACCCTGCGAGCAGCTACTGTGTGCCACCCCAGCAGCTTCTCCGTGGAGTACTGCTTTCTATGGTCAAGTCCACGGCTGCCTGGATTAGGTCGGGTCTCTTACAAGTGCTGCTTTCGACACCCTTCGTTCTTTTTCCTCTTTCATCTCAGTTTACAGCCCTGTCACGGGGGTGGCTCCAGCTCCGCTGCCTTCCCGCCGCCGGACCCCGGAGCCCAGCAGCGCCTCTCCCGCCATGGCCGCAGCATTTCGCTCCCCTCTTCGAGACGTCCTCCCTACGTGCCCTGAAGGCAATATAAACCTGTAAGAAACCTGTGCGCCTTTTTCCTTTCCTCCACACACGCTGACCGCAGGACCCTCCCTCCCCCGCCCCGGCACAGGCAGCCCGCAGCCCCGCTCAAGTTGGCGCCGCGGGTCCCCACGCGTGAGGGGCGGGTTACCGAGGGGTCCCCGGCCTCCCGCACGGCCCCAGCCCGTCCCCTCAGGCCTCTCCGCCACCGCGGGCCCTGGTCAGGCGGCGTTTCGAGGGCCAGCCCCGCCGCCGCCCCCAAACTGAGAGGCGGGAGCTCGGAGGCGGCGGCCCGGGACGCGCTGCCCTGAGGCGGGCGGGAGAACTCGCCGCCATGGCGCTGGGCCGGGCCGCGGAGGCCGGCTGCGCCTTCCCGCCTCGGCGGCCGCGCTCCCCGCTGAGGGGAAGGGGCACCCCGTGGGGTGGCCGATGGGCGCCATCCCCGGGAAGGGCTGGAAGAGCCGGAGGGCCCCGGGGGAGAAGGTGGCAGGGCTGAAGTCCTGCAGCTCTTCTCCTCAGGTCCCGCCGCCGTCCCTGGGGGATCCATGGCTTCCACGGGGCGCTGAGGGACTTTCTCCCGGAGATGTAAGCAAGGACCCACGCAAAAGCACGGCAGGAGAGGCGGCTGACACCCCTTTCCTACCGATGAGGTGGTCAGAGTGTGCCTCGCTGCAAAGGAGGCTTGAAGCCCTCTTCCCTCAGCCATGACCCGAAAGAGAGTTCCTGGCAGGTGTCGGGGCAGCAGCACGCACAGAAATTCAACACATCCTCGGGCAGAGAAAGAGGGGAAGAGGGTCCCCAGTTCTATCTCCTAGGAAGGGCAGGATCTGTAAAATACAGAAATAGCCACCAGCTGGATTTCTACTTTGATTATTTGAAATTTAGATAAGCTCCCCTTCACATTACATAAACAAATGGTGATATGTCAAGTATGCTACCTTTAGTATTTACACAGTAAGCCCAGCTCCCTCGGCAGTCCTCTCGCTTTCCCTCAGATGAAAGTGAGTTACAGAATAAAAAATTTTAACCAGCCGTGGTCTGTTCAAGCATTGCATAAGCATAGACTTTTGGTTTTTTAAGAGTGATTAGGGTCCTTCATATCTCTTTCAGTTACATCTGCTTCTGTATGTGAGGAATCCTGGCAAAACAGACTTGACCATCATTTTACAGTCCTGAACTACTAAAGCTTGAATGTTGAATGCTCCCTGTTGTGTTTACAGAATGAACCTAACACCAAAATGCTAAGGAGCATGAAGTTAAGGTAAAACATAATTTAAAAAAATTCTAATATTTAGCACAATTGTAACTTTAAATTTTAGAGTTCTCTTAATGCTGTCTTCTTGAAACTCAAGGTGCAAGTTATGATGCAAGTTCAGGTACAAGCTCAAATTGCTTTTACAGGTTTTAAAGTTTGAGCCAGACTCATTAAAGCAATTTCAGAGCTGAGCTTAATGGACTTCCCAAGATTTGAACTAGATTCCTCAAATGCTGTGTTCTGACTTCCTAACCTAGCTAATAGAAAATGTTGAAAAAAGAACTGTTGCATAAACTCTAGTTCTCAAAGTTAGAAGAGTACAGAGCAGTGCCTCCTTGCCCTGAAGTTACAGCCACACTCTATCTCTGGGCATTAGGTATTTAACCCACACTTTCCTCACAGAAGACTGCAGTCACATCCTTTCCCTGCCTTCCAACAGACAGCTCAGTAGTGGAAGCTCTCAGGAAGGGGTTACAGAAATTAGGACTTCGCTCCTGTCCTTGAGAGAATTCAAGGAACCTCTATTATAATCTTCCAGATGATTGATCTGATCACTCTGCCAGTACCACTGATGTACAGGGCATTCTGGAGCAAGACTCTCATTTGACCCTTCCCGTTGAAATTGTTCTGTTTTCTGTGGGCTGACTAAGTAATTGCATGCTTTTCTAGCCTTTTGGTTCAGACACTCATTTCAGAAGGAAGGAGCTGTGTTCCTGGCTGTGCTGCAATGAACATCACCTCCAAATGAGCGTCTGTTCACTAGCCCAGTCTCATCATGCCAGTTTTTGGCAGGCTGCACTGCTGTTGCCTTCTCTCCCCTCCAACCTCCACTCTGTGGCTCACTTTTTCCACAGCTTTCTCAGTACTCCTTCCTCAGCAGCACCCTGTTTTTCACCCTTTGCTCCTCTTTCCGTCAGGATTGGTTCCATTCCTGCACCTAACCTAATATGCCTCATCAAGGTGATTCACCTACTGTCCACACACCTTATCTTAAATACTGTTGCCTTTCAGTTAGGATCCAGAGATTAAGCTGCCTCATTTTTAGTCTGATTTTGACTGCATTTCATTATGCCATGCAAGCTTGAAGCTATCCAAGAGGAGGAATGGAGAACACTCCAGATTTAAGCTATGTCATGGAAGTTAGAATACTCTGCTGGGAGAGAAAACATGCAGCCTGGCCTGCCTTTGTGGACGCTCACAGTGGACATGCAGCCAGGCACTGTGGAAATACTGATTTTTGCATTTGCAGTTAAATATTTTTGAGAATCAGGTGCTGGGAGATCTTGCTCCAAGGAGGAAAGACCAGCTGCAACACTGCCAATACATGCTGATAATATATGTGTGAGAGGCACTGAAACACTTTGTGTTCTGAATCATTCTCAACCCACAAGTCCTGTTAACAAAATCGTATCAGTGCTATTTTCTAAATAACATGGTTTGAGCCACCCATCAGGATGTGCGAAGTCATCAAGGAGGCAAAGGGACGTCAAAGCTCACTAAAGCAAGTTAACCTTTTAAGAAAGTTTTCACTGTTGCTTTCTGCAGCACCTGGATGCTTTAGTTACACAGATGCACTTTCCAGCTAAAATATATTTGTATCATCTTTCTTCAATCAGTCACCTGGATTGAAAGATGGCAACATTTTTTGAGTGAAATAGAGCTAGGACAAAACTGGTTATCCAAAAGAGCGAGCCAGTAACTCCATTCTTATCTGCATCTTTGTGCAGTAGCATTGCAAGTTGTTTTCCACTCTAGTTAGCTTTTAAATAGTCATAATTAACAGGTACATCCATAAACAAACTACCGTTGCTATAAGCACATTGCTCCTGTAGAAGTCAGGAGCTTTTGTCTGGCCAGCTTAATTTCAGGGTAGCAGCTATCAACCCGATGCTCGTACTTCAGTGACACTTTTCATCCCACCTATTTGTTTAGTGAGCATGGGAAGAGGCAAGGGGATGTGACATCTAATTAGATTTTAAGAACACAAGTTTTCCCTGGATAACAGGGGGTTAAGGCAGCTTTAAAACTGGAGTAAAAGGAAACTAGGGAAGCTGAAAGTGAGTAATTTATTAACTAAGTCCCTCTAACACTTGCTTAATGTTTTGTACAGTAAATCTGTCTTAACAAATATTTAAACATCTTCCTACACCCAAATCCCCAAACACTGAAACATGAGGGAAAACCACGATATTTTTTTTTTTTAACCCCCCTCACTTGAGCCCCATGGAGCTTTGCCCAGAAGACATGAATATCCTGCGGTCCCATCACTTAAACTCTTCAGTCACTTTTCTGAGCAACTGTTCTCTTTGCACACTAAGATGCAATGGAAAATGGGATAATTTCAGTCACGCATTATTTTCAAATGTTTAAACAAAAAAACCTGCTTTAAAGAAAGCCTTGTATCTTTACTATGGATATATTATTTCTAATTCGCCTAATTGTAGCAAACAATCTAGACAGTTATTCTTTTGAAAAAACAGGACATTGGAGACTTGCTGCCTTATTTTGGGCTCTTTTTTAGCCTATACTATTTTAGAGTTAGCTCTTGGCCATCTCCAAGGTAACAAGGCATGGGCTATGTAGGAAAGAGCTGTGATATGGCTAGTATAAAACATGTAAATGAGACCGTAGGAACATAGTTGTTTCTTCCACCTTTGAAAGGCATATGAACAGATTTCTGTGGAGAGCTGGGGCAGCTTTAAAGAGCAAGCAGAGCAGTGTCCAGTGCAAGTGGCAGGTGTACAGTGCTGCGGTCAGGGCCTAGTAATCCACAGCCTGGAGAGCTGAGAGTTTGAGCAGTAAAGAAAAAAAAGCAGGCAGGAAATCATTCTTTCAAACTGCTGCCAGAAATAAAAAGCAACAGAGAAGGTAACAACAAAAAAGCACGTAGGCAGGCTTCCTGCCATTTCTGTTCCTTATTGTTGCCTTTATACCCAACAACAGAACCTGGCAGCTGACATGAAATAGCTTTGTTTCAGTCTTCATCGGTTGAAATCTCAAAATCAATATGGTAATCCTGATGTTCAGTTCCTTTTGTTACTGTATTTTATTAGTTAGAACTAAAGTAAAATGTGCCTGTTTGTTAGCTATCACTCTACTGTACTAACAATCTGACTGCAGGATTTCAGCTATCAAGATCCTTTCAAAGGACTGGTGTTTTTTGCTAAACCAAAACCACAACATCAAAACAGCTAGCCTCCACAAACTTCTCTCTGTACTCATCCAGCAGCAAAAAAGACGTCGTTTTGTGCATACCTTGTACTTTCTGTTGGCATTCACACAATTGGCATCCACACAATTAAAGGAGAAAACTGCCATCAAGCTCAGTGCTTGGAGCGCATCATGCTTGCATCAGGCAAGGAAGCTGGGTTTGGAGGACCCCTGGGGTTCCCTGAGGGAAACAAGGAGTGCATAGAAGTTGCCCTGGGCACAGGTACTGCTAATGACACACTTCTATTCCTTGTAAATGACCCAGTGAAGCAAGAGGCAAACATAACCTAGGGATAAGCTGGCAGAGCACCCCTGCCTACCTGAACTCATTAGTTACAACAGTTGTCTGCCATTTATAACCACCCTTGGCTTGATGGTCTAATCACCACCATCCAGCACTCTGGGAGAGTGAGAATGATCACAGGGCTCTGTGAGGGTGGCTTAACAGTTGTTCTTCCTGAATTAAGAGAAATAACATATTCACAAATCCCCAGCTGCTGAAACAAAGTCACTAATTCTGTTACCTATCAGCAACTTAAAGCAGCAATGAATGAACAGAACTCTGTAGTAGCTGAGCTGGAATGAGACAACAGCAAACAAAACACTGCTCTCAAGCAGTGCCCTAAAAATGTATCTTTGGAAAGAACATACATACAACGGTACGGTTCCCATTTATTTTATGTGAATTAAATAAAAAAGTGTATTTCCCATATTACACTTTTTTCATCTGAACCAGTCCTAGCAGAAAAGAAGTATAACCCTCCCACCCACCTTGAAATTTAAACATACCAGTCTGTGGGCCCTGGAAAAGTTTGTATCAATATTACTCCATTGTAGAGTGAAAAGGACCTCAGAAACAGACTCCATTGCCCATCCATTATGACTAACTTCTTTTTTAACCCTTCATGGTTTCCACTGTCTGAACAGCATCCAGAAGTCTCTTCTGAGTTGCCAGACATACATGCCAACAGTAGAAAATCCAGAATGTGTTCTTGCCCAATGAACGCTGGCACTGCTTGTAAAGTCTGAACAGAGTGCTCTTGTCTAACGAGGCTGGCCAAGCAGTCCTGCTTTAGCTGCCAGAGCTTCGTTCTGCTGAATATGGTACTCCTGAAATCTCATGGAGATCCTTTGTGTCATTTTTAAATACTTCTGTAGGCAGTGGTCTGAGCAAGTCATCTAGAGCAAGAGGGAAACAGAAGGCTTCAAACAGTAGTTAAAACACTTCCCCAAACAGGACCCAAAATATAATCATATACAGGGATAAATGATTAGGTGACTACATCTCATATTCTGTGTTAAGCCTCAAGATGAGGGCCTAATTACGCACAGCCTCTCTGTGCAGCGGAAAAGGTGAAGTTTAGTTTTTGAGGGATGTCTGAAATGTCTTTTAACATTCCATTCTCATATGAAAGTCTTCATGGAAAACATCTCAGATCTAGAGATACTACCATTTCATCCTTGGGCTCCTCTTGTGAAATTAAAGTATATAAAGCATTTTATTTTGCAATAAATACTAAATCTATTAAATTAGTATCTTTTTTTAATTCTGTTTACAAACACATACTATTTTTGACAGCCAAATATGGTCTCCTCTGTGCTAGCTCAGTTTAAACCTTTTTTGACCTTGTTCCTATTAGCTTTATCAGTCTTCTTGTACTTGCTTGGTTAACCTTCACAAAAGCAACCACAGCACCCTCTGAAGTTTGATCAGTCAGCTGACAGGGAAATAAGTACCAGGGACTATCCCACCCACGGTATTATTTTTTAAATTTAGAGGGTTTTTTTCTTTCTTTAAGTGTAGAGAAAGAGTTAGATCTATTTCTGAGCAACAGTTCTACCAACTGGATATTCTGTATCATGGTTCTAAACCTTGCTATTGCTGTAAAAGTTAACAAATTTAGACAGAAAGGAAAGACAACCACTTTGTGTGATGACTAGAAAACCAGAAATTGCTTTGATTCTGCACAGTATAAAGGGATGAGAAAAGCAGAGGGGCTGAAAATGAACAAGACAAAAAAACCCATGCAGCTGTGCACACCACCCGCCACCCACCATTCTCTCTCCTTCACCTGGCATCAGCTACAGCAAAACCTGTTAAGCAGAAGTTAAGTTTGACTAGAAAACAAATTCTGGAACTACCCCAAGCCACTTCTCCCAGAGGGTGTGGTGTTTATGACATGGTGCCCGGGGAAGTCTAGACTTGCAGCGCAGACTTGCTGTAGGGAAAGAGGTCAGAAGTTGCTTTTTCAAATGTAGAATCTCAAAGGAAATTCCTGGAGGTATTCATCTTAATTATTTAATAAGAAACTACAGCTTTAAATAGAACATAGGAATTTCCATACCAGATCAGACCAGTGGTCCATCTAGACCAGTGTCCTGTTTCCAGCAGGGGTGAGAGCTGGATGCTCTGCAAGAAACCCCGTAATGGATAATTATGGACAAAACTTCCCATAAGAAAGTTTCTTCCTAGCCTCCATCGTTAACAGATGGCTCCTGTACTGCTGGACATGGCTTCTTTGCAGATCACAGAAGCGAGAAAAAAAAAAAAAAGAGTAGATCAGAATCTAAGAATATTTTTTGTATCTAAATAATCTTAATTCCCCTCCAATTAGCATTCTTTGGTTTTGGATCCCAGGTATTTAATGAAAGCTATACGAACAGTTACTTTTAAAGAAATTCTAGTAACACTTTGGGTAGCAGAAGAAAGAAGTATAATCTGTTACTGGAAATCAAATACCATCACAGAAAGGTAAAGAGGTTGTGCCACTAACACTTCTGTCAGTTCTGTTAACTGATACTCCTTGTGTTGTTCAAGCAATTCAAAATCAGTTGGTAAATGTAGTAACAAGACCTCATCCAGAATAATTCTGACCTCCTGTAGCCAATAAAAATTCCACTAAAGCAGATGCAGAGATCAGGGAAACAAGGAATCTGCCTTGGGAAGCTGAGAGCTTTGTTTAGCACAGCAAAACAAAAGCTGAAAGGAGACATGATTTTTGCCTGCGCTGAGGAGTTAAACTCCAAGGAGGCAGAAAATGCTCGAAAACAATGGTTGGTGTAAAACTTTAGGGTTTTTTCCCCTGCCAGCAGAGTCAAGCAAAGTTTATTAGACTTTTAACCAACAAAATTATGAGATTCTGAAACAGCCTCTCAACAGGAGAGGAGAGGCAAAAACCATGCAACTAATCTTACCGAGAGCTTAATCTTTTTTTGCAGATGACTATGTGATGGAGCTCCCTGCAATGCAGAGAAGTGGCTTTAACAGCCAGAGCTTTGGAGGCCTACGTTTCTATGACTCAGTACAATGCAGGGAATGTGGGTAGGTAAACAAGTATTGCAGCAGGACTCTACTTTCACAGAATGAGATGCAGGCTGTAGGTGGGCAACTTCCATGTCCGTAAAGGTACCACCCATCAGAAGTTGAGGCACAAGAACCTCCACTGATAGCTCAGAGAATGAAATACACAGAATTGCAATAAGCAGCCAATACTCAAGCGAGATCAGGAAGATTCCCTCTGTGTATATGTAATGAAAAGACAACAATGACAAAACCTCAAGAGGTCCTAGCCCATAGTTTGTCTCTAGCTGATGATCTAATATATCAAAAGCATTTGGCTTTGGTTGGTTGGTTTCTTTTTGTAAACAGACTGCAAGGGTGCAAAGAAGTATTTGTCATCACTTTTGGACATATTTGGAGAAGCAAAACTACTGACAAGCTATTTCCCTTCTTTCCACAAACTCACTTCCTTTCTCACTTGGAAGCTACATGCCAGACACCTATACTCCACTAAAGACTGCTAACTAGATTTTCAGCTAGTTGAAAGATCAAAACTTTCTAAGTTGCTTCTGAAATTTGAGTGCTACACAGCAGTTCTACCAAAGGGTCATTAAAAGAATTTACCTACCTCTTCTGGTTTAACCTCTCGGCTAGTGAAATCCTTTATGCAATCCAGGAAGCAGTTTTCTGTAAGTTTATTGTATGTTCCAAGAAACTCCTTGAACTACAAATAAAAATTGGACAATGAGTATTTAAAAAAACCCTGCATTAATTTTTCTTACACACAGCTGCAAGGGCCATCTGGTGACACTAACATTTAAAGGACAAGTCACTAAAAAAAAATTTTACTATCAGTCAGAAGATTTCAGCACCAAATGCTGCTAGTACTCAAGTTAGATGCTATAGTGTGTCTGTCAATGGTAAAACGTTTAAGTGTTGGTTGCTGCAGAACTACTGCAGTCTTAACTCAGGTGATAAATTTTTTGTCCTTTTCCATGCCCTACACCTTTTACTCTATGTGACAAAGTAACAGAAGATCTCCAAAGCCACCACTCATGAAGACAGAATCTTACCTGCTTGATCTGATCAGATTCTGATATTTGTCCAGCCATATTCTACCGCCTATTCAGTCACCTATTCTGAAGATAAAAGTTCAGTTTCACACAAAAAGCATACATATGAACTGCAACATTTTACAACAGAATGGAATTTTACACGTCCTTGAAGTGTCTTTAAATGCAACTTCCCTAGCAAACTTTCAAGCCATCCACTTGAAGGAAAGTTATCTATTTGAGATTTATTTAGTTAAAAGAACATCCCAGTTAATTCTGGGTATAAAACCTTCCCAGATCCACCTGTTAACTGCTGTCCTTTAAACACTTTTTAAGCATTTCAAACAGTTAGCAACTTAAAAAAAAAAAGGTTTTATAAATGCTTTCAAACTCAGAAAGTAAAACTAGGGTAGGAGTGGGGGAAGAAGTAAGCAATAACATTTTCTAGCCTTATAGTTTCAGTGACTCTAGATGTCATCTGTAAAAACAGTAAGGAAAAAAGGCAAGTATAAAATGGTAGCCACTCTGAGTAGATGCAGCATAAGCCAGCTTGCATCAGAGAAGCAGACGCCTGGTTTCTATGTAGCTGCATTCTCACCAAACACTTAAACTACAGCAAATGTTCTGGTCATTGAATATAGTGAATTAAATGCAAGAAAACATAGAAGAATGAGAATGGCCTTAAAAGAAGTGAAACAGACAAAGGGAAGAATGAACAGCCATAGATCCAAGAATTTAAGCAAGCATCCTCAAGGAAGACTCACATTCCTAATCCAACACAGTAAACGAGTTAAGGCTTGAAAGTATCCCTGCAGGTTTCCTAGAAGAATACTGCAAGCTAGTCTTCCTTTTCCCTTAATTTACCTATTATCAAAGACATAAGTGATAATGCAAGCTAGTATTACACGTTGATGAGAACAAGATCCTTCAGTTTAATTCACATCAACGTGTGGAAGAAAAATTAGCACTGAAGTGTAATCACATTGTGAAAAAAGTTCATTTAGCCCTTTAGCAAGGACTACTTACAATTAATCTTGTATTATGCTTTGCCAAATTTTGAGCAAGACATTCATGCTTTAGAAAGCTTAAACTATTCCAGTCTCTCAGCAGGGGGAAGGGGGAAGGGTAAGCAAGCCTTCTGAACAAGAACAAAAAGACATTAATAATTATTTCTACAACAGAAGGAAAACTAAGCAACTAAAAATAGCGTTATGTAGCTCCCACAAGCATGCACTCTCCCTATAGCCCCTCGCAGTAGCAGAGCTATTATAACATCTACCTCTTACCATTACACTTTATCACTACACAGGAAGCCAATTCAGGGACTGGAGGTAAAAAGCACATACGATTCTTGGATTTAAGATGCATAACCCCACAACCAAGAATTCCTCATGGGTAGATAGGTGACACAGGTTACTCTTAAGAAGAACCTACAGGATATGGTTGCTCAGAATAAACAAGGCATTACTCAGGTTAATGTAAACCTCTAACTTGTTTTAGGAGAAGTGGACGTGACAACAACTAGCGAAAATGGATGGCAACTCCACTCTCATTTCTCAGCCTGTTAGAAGAAAAATCAGTGACAATTCTATCAAGTCAGTTATTAAATAGAGTTAGAAACCACAGAGAACAGGAGATACGCTTGTTCTCTCCCAAATACAGAAAGCTAAAAGCTTCAACTGTCAGCACCATTTTCTTACACTCAATATTGCTTCATTATGCTTGTTTATAACAAACCTGATCTTTTGTTCTTCTGTGTCTAGTTTGGCAAGCTTAAAATTACAGATTTACTGAACTGCAGTTCCACAAAGCTTTTACACTTGCACTTGGGAAACAGCTCTGATTTAAATCAGCACAATAGCACTATCTGATTTTAAGTGTCTGAAGCACTTGTCCCTCTACAGGTATTTTACACTTTCCACACAGCAGGCAGTGAAATTATACAGCTCTACTGGACCTCTTCAGTAGCTATAAATTACAGGCAGTTGCCTTAACATCTGAAAATGTGCTACCTGAACATTCCCAGAAATGTGCATATGTGGTTTATTGTTAAAGTCTGTTAAACGTATCAAGTATTCCTGTTGTTTGTCCCCTTTCCCCCCAGCCGGGGAAAAAAGCAGGGGGGAAAAAAAAAAAAAAAAAAAAGATGAAAGAGCCTATTACGGGGCTTGGCACCTCAGCTAACACACCACATAGCTTCTTACATAGCTGCTCAAACTACTCCAGCATGCTTCAGGTTTAAGCCTACGCAGCCTGGATTACTCTCTTCTGGGCTAAATGTGATTTGAAAATTCAGCATTGCACTTTTAAACATGTCACACTGAAGGAAGCAGATATCTCTGAATAAACCTCTGCAACAAGGGCCACATGCTCTGCATGTGCTGGTTTACCAGCAAAGTAGCAGCAGCTGGGAAATCTCCCTTCTTTAAGGGCCCTGGAGTTCTTCCAAGTATGTTTTGATGTTCTAAAGAGACATTCTTTTAAGATAAGCCTCTCTGAGCAAAATTAGCAGTTAAGGATAACTTGAGGTTTTGATTTCTCATAGTTAGGCATAATGGATTTTCCATCCTTTTTCCAAAGATAATAAAGGCTTCAGCCTATTCAGACCTATTATCTATGAAAGATCCATCCCAGCTCCCAGCCCTGTTTTAGAATCTGGAAAATGCTTCCAATATTTGCTTCTGCTGCTCCCATTGCCATGGAAACATGAAATCACTACAGAGTGACAGCTTTTTTTAAAAAGGTAAAGCTAGTTTATTATATAAAAACAGTGATTAGGTTAAGGATTCCTAGCTAACCAGGGTCAATCATCTACCCGTTTCCATGGCACAAGGAACAGGAGCCAGAACTACGTATGTCAGAACTCTTCCAAAACCTCTTATCTGTGGGAATACAACTTCCACAGCTGTATCTGGGGAAGAGTTGCGGTCAACAGCTCGATGTCCAAGTAGAGACCCGTGACGAGTGGCATTCCTCAGGGGTCAGTATTGGAACC